CAGTTAACCTATCCAGTTGAGAAGTTCCCAAAGCTACATTAAATATTTACAGATCAAAAGAGATTAAATTCATCAGACTAAGTTCGCCCAGTCAAATTCTCGAGAGGGAATTCCAGTGTATACTTTTTCTGTCGAATGTTAGTTCCTTCCAACCTACAGAGACATAGCAGCCATGATTTTGTGGGTTTTTTTAAACCAGGCCTTCCAATAAAACATGAACTGGCAAGCCACATCTTTTCTGTACTATCAAATCAACCAAGAAGAAATGGGTAGGAAACAAACATTTTAAATATAATACAAAATACCAATTGTTTACCTCCAGTTTTCAGAGCTAGATCTAGTAAGCTGCAATCGCTATGTTTGTTTTGTAAAGTTTTAGCCACACTTTAGAGACACATAACTAAAACCAGCGAATTACTTACCAAAGAAGTCAAATGAAAAGGGGTCCCTTCCACCAAAAAACTCCCTAAAGACATCTTCTGGGTTACGGAATGTAAATCCAAATTCAAACTGATTATCGTGATGATTTCCACCTGCAAAAAGAAGTTAAATTTCAATTACCCTCACACATTCTTACTAACAAGAAAAGTTCAGGCCTATATGGTATTTGAATCATTTATGAACACATTTCTAAAATTTCTCTTTCCTTTTCAGTTATCACTCAAGTACACACAATACTTTTTATAATTAATTCTCTTTTCTCTGTTTCCAGATATCAGTAATACAATTGTTCTAGCTGTTGTAAAAGGTAAAAACAATTTAATTTCAGTTTTCAGAAGATTACATTTTAGACCTTAGTATAGGCATTTCCAGATTCCTGTCTTAAAAAGAAAGCTGCAGAAAATGGCTCTCCCCCAGAACAGAGAAAGCAAAGAACTGCTAGTTGTCAACATACCTCCGCCTCCATTTATTAAGCCTTCTTTTCCGTATCTGTCATAGATGTCACGTTTTTTAGCTACAAGGAGAAGTTGTACATCATGTCAGTAAATAGGCACACTGAATTTGGAAAAAAACAAAATTACTTAACTGGTATTCTCAGCTAAACATCTTCTTAAAGCTAATTTATTTAAGGAAGTTCTGGCATGCAACTGGTGAGCATTTCTGTTGAGGATTGCCAAAGCAATTTAGGTTCAGAATGAACAGGTACTAAACCTTAGACTTATTATAACTTAGTTGTAGAAGCTCAGGTCCTGTTGTATCAGAAAAAAATCTGGTATAAGGACAAACTTCACAAGGAAGTTTGCCTTTAAAAAAATACTGCAGTCTTCATCTTTACATAGGTACCATGGAAAGCTTTAGGTTGTAAAGGACCTCTGGAATTCAACCTTCTCCTCCAAACAAGTCTAATCTCAAAGTTGGTCAAAACTTGCCTGGATAAAGCTCTGATCTCATCAATCTCCAAGAAAAGAACATTCTACAGTCTCTCTGGAAAACAGTCCCAGTGCTCAAGCATTCTCATTGTAACCATTCTCTTCCTTCTATCCAACTGGAATTTCCCTTGTTGCAAACCTTGACCATTGCCTCTCTTTCTCTTATTGCATAAGACCAAGCCCATTATTACAGAGTTATGAGAACGGAAGGACAGCATTTGTATGAGTGACTGCAAAACCCCTCAAATTAATTATAACCACTTCCAGTTTAACAAAGGGGAATGAAGTGATGTTAAAAAAATGCCGTGGAAGGATTCGACTCAAACTGCTTGCTCTCTATTATTTTAGACGGCATGGAACGGCTTGCTCTTAATTCCATTGCAGACCAGCCTTCCCGCACCCATGAGAAAAGGGAGAAAAATTAACTCTACATTACTACATAAGATCAGACTGCACTGTTGGTACTGGAAAGGAACCTGAAGAGCTTAAAAAGGCAGATAGCTTATTTTGCTTGCACTGGTGTGGAAGTATCAGCCAAAAACCAGTCAGGGCATCTGATTTTAGACTCAATATTAACAGGCTATTCCCCCTGGAATCTCTTCAGTGAAAGATGTTTTTGAAATTTAAATAGCATCGCTGAATGAACAAGCAGTTACCTCAAACAGCTGCTGAAAAGTAGAATACTTCTGACTAACAGGAATTAAAATTTTATATACTGATCATCTCCAAATAATGGAAACTTGCAGTAGGTTCACACACACACATCCCCAGCAAAGCTTGGTACATTACCCGTATTGCTAGAAAGCAATTTTTAAAGAAAGGAGGTTAACCTACCCACCAATGTAAAAAGACCACAGCAGTATGGCAGACAAACTGTCAGAAGCAAGAAACAGCAAGGAAGACCTGAGGGCTCACAAAGCCCGAAGTTCATCTTGAAAAATATAACGTTCTTAAAACCACAAGGGAAGTGTGCTCTGTGATCACCCAATTTCAGCGTTCTTTGCTTATGTAACCCCTTATAAAACTATTCTTCTGCCAAAAACCCATCTTCATTCAAGCCTGTAATGGTGTCAGAAAATGTCATTAAGTCTGCAGAACAGTTGATTGCCTCTCAACCACGGGGCTCAGGATTCAGATACCCCTGCTGCACAAATGACTGTTAAGACACCAGTAACTTAGGATTTGGTCTAGATCCAAAAACAGGCAGCATTTTTAGAAGATGTTCTAAAATTCTAGCAGCATACTGTTTCCGAAGAACCTGATGATCTGTGTAACAACCAGACCAGTATCCTATTTTTATCTTGCTCAAAAATTAGCTTAAGAAGGTTAAATTACTCTAGAAGACAAGTATACAATGAACTGCCCATAAATTAAGTTCTGTTTCTCCCATGTCAATTAAGTATCAAAACCAAAGAAACAGGGTGTACAAGACTGCAGCTTGATAAACCAGGCCAAATTCTGAAAGGTAATCTAGATGCTGCTAGCGCTTTAAATATAGCTTTCCCATGCTCACTGGTCTCAGGTGAAATCAAGGACACTTCAGAAATAGCATATAGACAGCTGCAGTCAATTACAGGGGAAAATAATCAAAGTAGCTTAAATCATTTTGTTATGATTCAGACTGCTTTTGCCAGAACACTAGCAAAAGGTAATGATACTTTTCATTACTGCCATCAAAAAGATATGAGTGAACTATAAGCTGAATTCCTGCACCACATGGGTCAGGCCAAGTAACTGTTTCAGAACAATTCAAAATAAACACGCCCCTCAGTATCACAGTTGACTGAATTTATGGAATTCACCCAAACGCAATCCGAATTTTCAACAAGGTTTACAGTATGCTTGGGCTTTGTCAAGACTAGTTTTCTGTTACAAGAACTAGAAGCAGTAGGCCCAGCAGAAGATACTTCAGAGTTTGTCTAGCCTGATTTTTATTGGATAAACACAGTAATTCCCCTGTACTGATGGCTTTACCTCCTATGATAAAATGAATATTGGTATTCACAGATATCTCTTCAGAAATTTCTGAAGAGAGCCTGGCAAACATAGGATTTCAATTTCTAGAAGGAAACTGGTTTGGTTACTCATCTAGAGACATCCTGAATTTTCTGTTTCAAATTTTCTGCTTATTCTGTCTTATCTGCAAGCTTTTTTCTCTCTTTTCTTTTGAAAAGGAAGTAGTTGAGTTGGATGGTAAACCAAAGTTACAATATCCCTTTAAAGCATCATACATCAGCGTTTCCAGTCTGATACCCAGACTAGAGACGTGCAGTTCAAGAGCCCTTTTGCAATACCTACCATCTGACAAAACTTCATAGGCCTCAGCTACTTGTTTAAACTGCCGTTCTGCCTCATCTTTATTGTCTGGATTTTTATCAGGGTGCCATTTTAATGCCAATTTACGGTACCTAAATGGAAGGAAAACAAAGGATATTTTACTCTGAAATGAAGGAATATGCTATACAGATACACACAAAAATGTTTCAAACAAGTTGACAGGAGTTAAACTGTTTAGATATTCCCCAGCGCTTTGTGTCTTGCGTCTAGACCAGTACCAACAGATTCTGCACAGCAACCATACCTCGTGTTAAGAAAGAGCTAGTATCCAAAAAAGCAGCATGCCAAACACTTGTTAATGACTTTGAAAAAGCACCTCTGCAAAAGGAGGGGAAGACTAGTTACTGCAACTCAGCCACAGAAGAAGGGGCTGTCACTGCCTATACCATATCAAGTTTGGAGGCACACTTGTACAGAAATGTATTTAACAGTGATCAAAAAACAGTGACTGACAGCATTTTCACTTCAGCAGTACTCAGGATTCTTTTCCCAATTTCATAAAAATGAGCAAATGCTTTTTCTTCAGAACACTAAATATTTCTCTGTTAGTGAAGGTTATCACCTCAGATGACTACTACTCATCCTAGTATTGACAAAGTGAGAATCCAGAAACCATGTGATTATATTTGTTCCTTAAAATACATAACATATATATACACCAGTGATACTTACGCTTTTTTAATATCTTCTGCTGAGGCATGCTTTTGCACTCCCAGAACTTCATAGTAATCCACCATGTTTCAGTAGTTGTCTTGTTAACAACAGCTGAGTCTTTCAAGTCCTGCAACAACAAGAACTTGTAAATGAGGCTTGTAGAGTAATGCTACTTCATAAAAGTCAGGTAGGAGCCTAGTATCTTCCAGTACCAAACCTGATCTGAGAGCGCTGCTTGTTTTTAGAAACGCGAATGTTCCAAACACAAAAAATAAAATTGCTTTATTTTACGTTGACAGATCAAACAATTACTTTGATTCTGATTTTTGTCTATGTTCTTTAATCCCACTGAAACACAGTGCACAGAGACATAGGTAAACAGCAGGTTCCTGAAACAAATTAGACTGAAAAGCTAGATTTAACCAGTATATTAAGAAGAGTACGTACAGTGTATCACCATTTTGATATATACGTTAATAACTGTGAATGCAAAAGAAACCACGTATCACGTTCACTTTATGTCACCTCTGACACCTCTGTCATGTCTTAAGCACATATGAGCATAAACAAAGGGCCACATCTTTCACATCTACTGGTCAGAACATTACTTCCACTGAGAAGCTCCCTTCAAAAAAGCAATGTATGTGCAGGTCTTAGAAATCTAAAAATCTGCCTATAATTTCCAGCAAGTCTTTCTCGTACTCAAACCTTGACAGAAAATTCACGTATTGCCAAAGCTACTGAATTCCATTTACTTCCTTTACGTTTACCAACATACAGTACATAGCCAGGTAAGATTGCTCAAACTGCAAGGTTAACCAACCATCTCAAGTACAGAGGCACCTTGTGTTTCTTGGTATAAGAGAATCAAGTTTTCACAAGAGTCCCAAGAAACCTACAAGCTAAAAGAAAAAGCATTTGCCTTACGCAATTTAAATACTGACAGTTTCCTGTCAATATTATAGTTACAATGAACAGTTATACTAACCATTACTTCAGCTAAATGACCATTAAGATTAAAGAATCTTTCTAAAAATTTCAAGAACATTTCATCTCTTCATGCAAAGGGTTCTTCTCTCCACCACTGTAACCAGTCTCCCTTCTGGCAAAACTTCCAGCCACTTTCCTATCCCATCACTGCTGCTGGTTCGTTTCAAGTTTCATGAACAAGGCAACACTGACCTTTTCAATGAGTTACCAACTCATTGCAGGCAGTGTCACCCAAATACACTTGAACATAACAATACAGCAATGTATGTCACATTTTCTTATCCCGTGCATCAAGAACAAAAATTCATTGAAATCACTTCCCCCCGCCCCAGGCCATTCAGTGTTTTTCATTTCAGCCCAGGCAAAGTCTCATTTGCATGTTTTTTCACACAAATGCTGAAAGAATCAAGCGTGATATAGCCCAGTGAAATATTCTGAAATTAATTTATTGTATTAGTATTACATCTATCTTTCAACATCCTGGGATGTAAACATCAGAGAGAGACTTCCTTCTAAAATAAATTGGTACATCTTCAAAATATATTGCTGTTGTAGGTTAAAGCTTAATTAACTTTAATTAGGGATGTGGTTACACACACATTTCCTCAAATGGCAAAACCAGTTTAAGAGATACCCTGCCACACTACCTCCCCCCTCCAAACTACTTACAGAAGCAAATGTATTGGAGGAGCCATGTGTTTTTAAAACTTGGGTGGTTTTAGCAATCTAGTTAACCACAGAGTCCCACAAACACTTACAAAATTAAAGTGTAGCAGGTAAACAGACCTCTAATTGACTTTGCCCTTTGAAGAAACCTCCACACTGAAAGAAGTAGTACGGGTATAGTCAATATTGTGACCAACACCAAGGGAAGTTGAGAGACATGCATTACAATGAACATTAAGAATACCAATGCTAATATAGTCATGGCAGGGTTCAATATGTAAACATATAGATTACCAAAAATATCCCGGAATACTTGCTATCAACTAGCCTCACTAGCTTTGCTGTTTCCCAAACAATGATTAGAAGAACAGCTCTATGAATACACAGGTGAGGAGCAAGGTTAGCATGGGTTAAGTATGTTATCAAATCCTGTAGCCAATCCTCATGAGTAATAGCATATATGGAACATACAGTTTACAGAAAGAAATCAGGGAGGGGGGGAATCTAGTATGAGTCAGGCTTAAGGCTAGAGGTCAGAGCCCCTCCTAACAAGAGATACTAGCCTAAAACCAGTGAACTAACAGCAGGAAACCGCAACACATAAAAGCACATACCATTCCGCTAAGTGTTTTTTCTATATTCTCCTTTTTTTCTTAAATACAAGACTTGCATTAGCACTCCTCTCAATTTAGGCCGATATCGTAAAGGCAAAATTCAAAACTTAAACTTCTAGCTAGAATAAGCAGGTAGGAAAAGCAACTTAGATGTAAAAATTAAATCACATCATTTCCTAGAGAACTTTGTGCATGTCATATTGATTTCAACATATATTTCTTTAAACACTTTAGCTGTTTGTTTAAAAACAGTGCTGCAGTGTTGTAAGTTCAGACTCCATACATACATACACCAATATATCCTAAATAACAGAAGCCTGAAGTTGGGACCAAAAATGAGTGCTGAGACAACGCAACCACCTCTTAATAGATTACTCTGACCCTAAAAAGCAACTCCTCCAAGAACAGAGGATTATTTGTTTCAAAGAAATGTCTGGGGCTTGCATATTCCATCTTTTATGAGTGTGTTATTGTTCAGTTTTCACCTGCTGCTAATATCAAGTCTGGAATTAAGACAAGCCAGCAGCTCTCTAAAGAAAACAAACTGTTTATATTCTCCTTCTCTCAGTCAAACATTCAGGTGACAGTAAGAGTTCATCTCCAATTAATCATTATTTCTATCTGTTAGTTACCATAAAGCATAAACTGCACTGCTACAATTTTAGGTATCATAGGAACTTTTTTCTTGGGTGCAAAAAGGTTTTAGCAGTATTTACATGAAGAAAATCCATCTGCATTTTTTTTTGTCCAGTTTAAGCAAAACATGCAAAAACATGAAAGAGCATCTACTAATACTCAGCCCCTTAAAAATACTTGGATTTTTGCTCAACATCCAGTAAGACACAAAAAAAACCCCAACCCACACCACCACAAAAACAACCAAAAAAAACCCCCCAACCTGACACTCACAAACTAGAAAAGACCTGTCTCCAATCTTTCCAGGAAAAAAATATTTAAAATATTAACTCAAGAAAACAACCACCATCAACTTGTAACAAAACAGAAAACGGCTGATTAAAAAAATAAATAAAATCAGTAGTGTTAAGGCTAGTAGGAATCTGCATGGTGAAAATGCCTATATGTTTCAAAGCAGCAAACCACATACCTCCCTGCAAAATGGAAAAAAAAAAAACCTCAACTGTCCTAACCAAAATGACATGACAAACATCTTCTTCCAACCCCAAATCTATCAAACAATTTGTCTCCAAATATACAAGCAAGGCTCATTAACTAGGTGCTCGAGAGTTTTTTTTCCAAAGCCACAAGGAAGCCAGCCCACGTTAGCTAATTTCCCACTTCCAACCACAGAAAATCTTCAAAGTCTTAGAAGAAAAAACCAAGCAAAAAAACTCCAGATGAAAGAAGTTGTTTTATGGCCTTCATGTTTGCTTTCAGAAATTTACAGTTACTTGTGTTCCTAATTGCACTATGTTTATAGGATGTTATCAGCTAGTCTAACTCCTTCTTTGGAGCATGAACAAATTAAACATCCAAAAGTTTATGCGAACCGAAAGTTTCCATAGCTTATAGATTTCCCAGTCATCACAGGAGAAGTCAGCTTTGCTCTGGCTTACCAAGCAGAAGCCCTGAATGCTCATACTGACTCAACGCAACTGATAAGAGTATACAACCAGGCTTGAGAACTCCCTCTTACAGCACAGCCCAAAGCTAGGTCACTTTAGAGTTCTCTTGAAACCCGGCTCAAACTCTCTTTACAGCAAAGTCCTCAGCTACATAAAAGGCATGAGAAGAATTAGAGAAGATAGATACATAGAGAGCTATAAACTTTTATAAGATCAGATGACAAAGAAAAAAAAGTAATCAGATGCACAACCTGCAGGGATGACAAAGCAGCACCCCCAACTAAATACGGAAGGGGAGGAAGGTATCCAAACAAGAAATTCCTAAATCAGTCAGGAGGGAATTCAGACAGCAAGGGGCATGCGACCTTTGCAGTCAGCCCAGTCAGAAAAAGTTATCTATTTCTGGCCATGAAGCAACAGGGCGGCACGGAGAGTCCTGAAAGATGCCAGAATAGCTCAAGCTTAGCGACTAGTGCAGTCACCTGGGTAGAGGGAGATGGAGTTCCAAATTCATGCAATTCACAGAAGCAGCCAGTCATCAACATCCCATGCAAGTTGCACTGCCATCCAATTCCTAGTACCTGCCTGCTTTCTATGAAGGTATCTGAAGGATTGCATCCTGCTGGCAACACAGGAAGAATAAATACCCTGCTCTGAATCCCAGTTCAGCTTGAGCTTGTGTCTGACCTACTCAACAGCAACTGAGCAATGTAGAGATGTCTCTGGTATGTTAATAGATGATGCATACACTCCAGGATCTTTGGGAATTGCAACCTATGATTAAAAAAATATGATTTTTCACATTCCAAGAGTTTTATTAGAAAGCAGTATGTCAGCTGGACCTGATGAAATTTTACACTCCTTCAAAAGTATGAACAAGACTACAGCAGCATTAATACTGTTGTGGATCCAGGGCCATACAAAGAGTATCAAGCAACACACACTTTCAAAGTTTTCTAGTATTTCTTAATTTGATTTTTACATAGCTAAGACACCTTTGCTAAACGTTTTATTATTTACAGTACAGTAAATTCAGAGATGTATAAACATTTTCAGTCTTAAACTACCAAACTTCAGATGAAGTTCAGTCACTTCATTTGCTCACAGCTACAGATTTCAAACACAATCCATGAATTGTAATTACTTGCCTATATCTCTCCAAGTTACCCATCTAAAAGAAGGGTAAATAAAGATCAACCGTAAAGCACTATTTGCCAAGGCTTCCAAGACACATTTGTACCAGTGTCTCAAGGAGTTCTCACTGGCTTGAAGAGGTCGCTGCCTTTAACACACAGATGCTGGTTACAGAAACTGCCTTCTGGTGTCATCCTACACCCTAACCAAAAAAAGACAAATCTCACACCACAACTCTTAAGAGCAGAAGAGCACTCAAGACAACAATCAAATGCATTTTACCTAGTACAACTCAGCAACACAGGAAGCTATCTTTACAAGTTGCCAAACCTTGGCCAAATCCCAAATAAAATGAAGAGATCTTTGTCAGTTCTAGCAACAATATCTGGGATGTGCCACATGGAACTGAGCTCAGACCATGAGCAGTCTCTTGGCTGTACTAGCAAAGGTCCACTGTGCTAGCGCCGTACAAGTGCTACCATAAAAATGCCCACACTGTATACCAGAAAATCTTTGTAAGAGGAAGTTTAAGAATGCTAAGGAACCGAACGAAAGTTACTTTAATTCTGATGAGTGCAATAATACAGAGCAAGAAAACCTGTATAAAGTTTGTGATTAATTTATCTGACAAATACATTTAAACAACGCACCAACATTAAATTTTTCTTCCCACTGATATATGCACGGTGTGGTACAGGCTACGGTATATTAAAAACCTCAGTACTTTCAACTTCTACTTACCTAAGCTTAGAGAAGCTGTGACAGTTTAACTTCACAGGTTCCTGAAATGTATTGTTTTGTGGAAAAATGTAAATTTACCATATAATTAAAGTTAATAAAATAGACTTAAATACCAATGTTTATACTCATTACATTAGTACTACAACAGCATCCCCATGAGATGAATCTAACAAAATGAACATTCCAAAAAGCTTAGTTTAGTCTCATGTTTTCACCAAACATCCTGTTTCTATGTTAGAAAACAGAGTGGATTTGAATACAGTGATTATTATATGAGAGGATACAGTTCATACAGGGGAAAAGGTAGCTAGGCTGACTGCTTTACCTTGCAGTTCAAGTTCTATTCAAAAAAAAAAAAAAAAAACAAACAAACAAACAAAAAAACCCAACACCACAACCAAAAAAAGAGCCACCAGCACACAGCTCCCTCACCCCTTATAGCAAGAAGTTACAAAGAACCCTGTCCATTCCCCTCCTCCCCAAGGGGAGCAAGACACAACTGTGACAAGAACTACAGGACCTTCTTGTCTGTTTTACTGCCTGGCACATGGAAAGCCTGTAGAGGGCAACAAGTAAGAAACCATTAAAAAACAATTAACCTACCAAAAATGGAAACAGAAGAAATTGAAAAATCTTTATCTGTGACAGAAATGTAAACTAGCTAACAAAAACTGGAAAAGGAAGTAGATCAGTGAACAGGCTACCCTCACACCCTTGGCTGATACTCTGCTGCTTATCTATCTGATCTATGAGCATGCCTTAAATCAAGGGGTACTTATTCAGGATCTCTCCTTAAAGCAAAGGGGCATTTTTCCAAAACACAACTCAGGTGTCCAAATTTGGAATTGTGTCATACAAATATCTGGAACACTGGCACCCTCCTAAAACTATCCATAAAAGGCTATTTTATACAAAGTAAAAATATTCCTAACTTATTTTAAAATCAAACACAGATCATACATTTTAAGTGATTAAAAACAGTGAAAGCCTCAACTGGCAAAGATCGGGTCCCAAAAGTTTCAGCCAAATAATCACACGCAACCAGATGATCCTTCAGGGAAAAGAAAATAGTTTGAAGTTTCGACACACTTCCCCGGAAGTAGTTTTTGGAGTCATGATAATTTTACTTAAGCCAACCAGCAAAAAAAAAAGAGGTGCATTAAAGCAAACACCCATTTCTTTTTCAGAGCAATGATGACAGGCTGTCAGAGAGTCAGACTACATTTTAAGACAGAAGAATTTCTTCTAATCAAAAGAATTAACAACGTTTTTACAAAAACTGGCTGCAATGTAGCTGTGAATGGCTTCAGACTTATTACAGGAGCTTCAAGATCCTTGCTAAGTGCCGAGTCCTCACTAGTATCAGTGGGATTTCAGTACTTATTCAGAACAAACAGAAAACATAAGTGAAACCTACAACTAGTAACCGTAGGAGTGAAATTCATATGCATGAATTATTTCTTCTCTAGCTGTTAAACAGAAGCAGAACGCTTTCATTAAGTCTAAACTTAAGAAAAATCTAACATCCATTCAAATGTAGTATTTCATTCAAAAGCAAAGAAAATAAAATTTAAACCTACTAATATCATCAACTGCAGTTTTAATTTATATCTATCTTGAAATAAATAATCATCATATGCAAGATCCAACAAGTTTTGACGAAGCTAAGTAATACCTCACTAACCCTTCCATTCCTTGAATAAATCAAGACAAAGGAAAAGCTACTGACAGAAAATGTTTTCAGGACACAGCTGACAAGCTTCTTTATAAATGCTATTAGAGAAACGGAGCACTTGCTACTTAAGGAGCAAGATATTAGAGTATTAAACCTCACACAACTAAGTTGAAAATGAAGGTAATACATTCCCTTCAAAACATCACTATTTACGTGGTAAGAAACAGATGGTCCGCTCGAGTCTGGAAGTCCAGTGTATTGGCATGATGGAGATGCACTATCCTCTGTAGCCAGCAGCACAAGAGCTGAACACTGCTAACACGGGTGGCTGCACTCGGTTTGTTCAACCTGGTGTGACATTTCAGTCAATTCCAGGCTAGAACTTCAATGCCTCTGGACTCACAGTAAAACACAATCATCACCCTCATCCCGCATGACCTCAGCTCAAAGACCTAACTGTGCCAATGTGTTAAGCACAGATGTACAGATGCAGGAGTCCTGGAAGTTTTACGGTTTAAAAAAAAAAAACAACAAACCACAAAAAACTGTATTTCTTTCCTCAGTACAGTCCAAATACTATTAGGAACTCATATATCCTTGTTATTGAGGAGATGATTTAACTTAAGTGTTTTTCCTCTCTCCATGTACATTCCAAAACTTCTAGTGGATGAAAGAAAGAATACAGTAGGTAGAGAAACATATATATCTATTAAAAAAGTAAATATCAAAGTACATCATCCCTCCAACTAAAAATTCTGTGTTACACAAAAGTGAAGCCTTGCATGCTTTCTCCCAAAGTCCAGCCAAGATAAGTCAGCAAACTGCATCGATCTAGGAAAGACAGAAGAAAATACCAGAGAGAAAAGCTGTTTTGGTAAGAATGTGCTGTAGTCAGAAAGCACAAGTGCTAAAAAGACAAATCTGATGGAGAACAAGGGGAACTTTGCAGTTTACAGATAGAGAAATTATTAACAACATTGCAGTTTAAACAATATTGCCAATAGAAGTAGCAATTTAAATTTCTCCTCCAGTGTCTGAGATAATTTAAGAAAATTTAATCCTAAATTAACTTCCATTTCAAATGGTCTCTTGTTCTCCACTGAAAAGGCAGCGTGAGAGCCAAGAGGGGGAAACAAAGTTAGACCAGTATTGTGCACTAGTTAGCATTTTGGTTGTTTAAAATAAAAAACCCACAGAAAAGTAATCACAGAGACAAGATCTGTAAATACATTTACTCACTGGTCCGAACAAATCTTCTCTGACAACATAATCCAGAAAACTAAATGGTACTTTAACCACCAGGCTCTTGATCATCAGCTGAACATAAAATCCCTCTGAACTAGAGTACAAGGACCTCCAAAGAGTAAACAAAAATTAAGGTCAGCAGGCAGCAGTAACTGCAACCTCAGAGGACCAGAAAGGCAAAGCCTAGTTTCATTCCAGCTATTCCCTCTGTGTCAGCACCTTGTTCTTATCACTTTTTGACACTTTACATCCTAAAAACTCAGGGCTTGATCATTGATTGATTATGCAATGTCACAAGCTTGACCATTTGCACATTAGCATTGTTATAAATTTAGCTTCTACGATGTTACTGTGTCCAAATGAGAACCAAACAAGCAGTTTATTATTATCAGAATTCAGACCAAGTTTGCTCAGTATTTTGGATAATCTTTTCTAATGCCTTCATGCTCAAGCCTGCAGCACAGGTTTTCAGCAGCCAACGAGAGCTCCAACAGTAAAACTGTAACACAGCATAAGGTGTTGCTACAAACAGGAACACTGATCATAAATAACTTCGCTTCCCAACTCGCTGCCCTCTCAGAAGTCCAGCAAATACTGACGACAAACTGTGTTCCTTACCTGCCAGTAACAATTCTGAACTCAGCTTGGAATTTGGCAACAGCGAGTTCAAAAGACCTGACCACTACCCGCCTTCACCCCACAACAAAGCTTACGACTGACCCTACTCTGAGTTAATAAACGCAGAACAGGATTTAACTAAACCATTTCTATCGGGGGGAAAAAAAAGCACGTTCAGTTTACAAGCACGCCAAAAAAGTACGCTGCGAAGAAAAGAACTTTAAGTAAAAGGTCTGTTCAACACATTCCAGAGCAAAGGGTGAACTCAGGCTCTCCCTCACCTTCTCGTGACTGACACCACTGCAAGCAGAAATGGAAACGCGGATTTTTTTTCCCCTAGCCCTTCTCTGCTTGCGGCAAACAGGAGACAAATCCGATCTGGGACCGTACGACCCGGGGATCCCAAACTCTATCTCCTCCGCTCCGAGTTACGCGATAAGCCCAAGGCAGCCACTGCGCCCGGGGGCGGCTCCCTCACCGCCCGCCCCCAAGCGCCAGAGATCCCCGCCGCCCGCTCCCCTGCGCGCCC